GATTTTGAGGGCATTTTGTAAGCTTTATGCATCCTCATTTTACACAACTGTAAACTGAAGCTAGAAGAAGTTAGATCTACCCAAGATCATCCATCTACTAAGTGTGAGCTCAGGTTCTGAGATCCTTCTGACTTCAGAGTTGTAAAGGAAAATGAAACTCTCAGGACCCTGCATCTCCTTATGCAAAAGCGAAGGTCAAGCCTGGTGACTGAGTCATACAACACCCCCTTCCAGATGAATAGCTGTTACTAACATTGTGCATTAGGCAGATCTCCATGGAAAGTCAGGCTCAGAGAAGGGAAGGGATAGATCCAAGATTGTACAACTAGTGACAAGCAGATTCAGGTATATACTGGGTCTGACTCCAGAAGGGCATTGCTCAGGCTCTAAAAAGCCTCAGGCATCTACGAAGGACTGCCCCCACAGATCATTCATAAGGAAGTTCTTTGCTGGCCTTTCATAAACAAGGATATGCAAATTGTAACTTTGGGACTGTAGGCTAAATATAGCTCCTAAAACAAAGATGCCACACTAATAATATTGATTACAAGTTTATCTTCTCAGGTACACAACAAAGACAGGATAAGATCAATCATTCTTCCATCTACCCAGGGCATCTGCGTAATTGATTCTTCCTTTACTACCCTTTTCTCTTAATATTCACCTTATCTTATATAAAATGTAGATTTCCTGGGCACTAACTAAAGTCTCACAAGAATGTAACCATTTGCTTCCGCTGCCCACCCCCTCCTTTTTCTTTGTGTACACCCTCTTCCCTTAAATACTGAGGTCTCAGATCCCTCTTCAGATAGCATAGGTCACAGACGCACCTGTGGTTTGTGCTTTTCCGGGGCACATCCTCAAACTTTGGCTTAATAAACCTTTATTGATTGAGGTCTTTGCCCCAGTCACTTATTTTGGGTTGTCAGAGTCTATAGTCTAACACTTTGTTCATACTGCTAAGCCTGAGGACAGGACTGGGGCACTTGGATCCTAGCAGTGTGCTATGGGGTTACTGAACCTTAGGATTAATAGCATGCGTTTCTGGAGCTTCCTCAACATTTGAGAAAGAAAGATTTTGATTTGTGTTTTGTGGGAGAGGAGTAGACACAGGCTTTTGTTCTGTAGTTTTGCATATGGGAAGTGGTATAAAACATTTTCACATTTAAACACTCAAGTCTGTGTTGTGGAGTACAAAATTCACATGGTTTTTGAGGTAAAATGAGATATCAAAGATGCTTCCTGTTTTGTGTCAGGGCATTTAAGATTACAATTTCACTTTCCTCTCTTTTTTTAATAATAGTTTATTGAGATATAATTCACATGCCATTTAATTCCCTCATTTAAAGTATTCAACTTTATGGAAGTTATGTAACTATCACCACAATCAATTTGAAAACATTTTCATCACCCCAAAAAGAAACCTTATACTCACTGACATTTACTATCCCTTTTTCCCCAACCCCTAGCCCTATATAACTCCTATTAATAATATACTTTGTAGATTTGCCTATTTTAGGCATGTCACCTAAATGGAATCAAACAATAAGTGATCTTTTGTGACTGTCCTTCTTTCCCCTAGTGTAATGTTGCATGTACTTCATTCCTTTTTATTGCCAAATAACATTCTGTTATATGGATATTCCACATTTTATTTATTCATATATTAGTTGGTGGACATTTGAGTTGTTTCTGCTTCTTGACTCTTACAAATAGTGCTGCTGTGAACACTTGTGTACAAGTTTTTGTGTGGACATATGTTTTCATTTCCCTTGGACATATA